AACGTACTCCCTTTCTTTGGAATGTATTCCATAGAAAGCAGACTTTGTCTTGTGTCACCATGGATGTCGAACGGACATATCGTGGAGTTCTTGAGAAATGCGCCGCCGGGCACCGACCGTGTTTCTTTGGTGAGCCGCCAGAACAAAATATCAGGTGAATATTTTTGACCTTTGTGCAATAGATGTTGGACATCGCTCTGGGCCTTGAATATCTTCACAGCAAACACGTTGTACACGGAGATCTCAAGGGGGTAGGTACCGTCTCCATGTGCATGTGGTCGGCATAAATGCTGATATTTCTTTAGGCGAATATCCTGGTTACGCCTTCAGGTAGAGCATGCCTCGCCGATTTCGGTCTATCATCAATCATTGCGATGTCCATGCAATTTTCGCCGTCCCCCACGGGGGCTCGGGGAGGCACTCCACGATATCAAGCCCCAGAACTGCTCAAATGTCCAGAGAGCAGAACCCAATTCGAGTCCGATGTCTACGCAGTTGCCTGTGTTTACTATGAGGCCAGTTCCACATTCCTTCAAGCTTACTGTTTGATGATCAGAATCCTCAGATCTTGAGCGGAAAGACCCCATTCTTCGAGATTAAAAATTATGTGTATCTCGGTATTCAGGTGCTTAACGGACTTCGACCTACGCGGCCAGATACAGTCCCAGCCGACGATGACCTCTGGTTGCTGCTTCAAGACTGCTGGGAAGAAGAGCCGACCGACCGGCCCCGCGTCGCTCAGATTATTGAGCGGCTGCGTGCCCCGCTGATTGGAGCGAAAGAGTCGCAATCCTCGACAGACTGGGATGAGAAATTTAGCGCCAAATTTCGTCGCTCTTTGCAAGATCGCCTGATATTACCGTCCGTTGCAGCAATCGAGCAAATTATCTTCGGGAATGGTGCGTTTCACGCGCTCGCATTTTGCCATACTGACTACTGCATTCAAGATGTTTGTGTGAATACTCAAGTTTCTCTGGAAACAGGAGAGTCTGCCTCGGAACCAGGGGTGCATGGAAATTCCCCAAAATTTCACACCTCGCTCTCTGTATCAAGAATTGGTTCAACGGGGAGACGTCGCTTGCAAGATCGGGTTGCGGTTTGAAAGGAAGGCGAGAAAAGATCTGTGCCAGTACTGTAGTTGAATTTCTCATCGTCATTCTGGAACCAGATGTTGTCCAGGCGCAAAAGTCATTATTGCCGAGTGAAAAGTAGCAAGGTAGGCACAAGAGACCGACACGTCATAAAATTTTTCGACTTATACGCGGGTTCGCGGAAGCTAGTGTTTATAACCATAAGCATATTCAACTGGCCTTTTCAAATACTCTCACATTCTCGGAATCAACCTTGAAAAGCCAAGCATTCACTCAACCGTCGAAGATGGGTAGGTTGTCATGGAGAGAATATAAAAATTCGAATCCTCAAGTCAAGTACGGTCGAGCTGAGGGAAGAGTTAGATTGAATGTATAAATACATAAATATGGAGTACACACAATCAGAAGTGCCAGTTCATCAGTTCCCTGCCTGCTTCTGAGCCATGGAAGATGGACACCAGAAAGCCCTCCTCCTGAAGCATGTTGAGTCTCTGCTCCACTGAAGTGCTAAGCATTATTGCCCAATCCACATCAGGAAAACCGCAGGTAGCTATGGGCGCTATGAAGCACTCGGCAATGCTGTCAAGTGCTGTCAAGTGCTGTGAAAGGCCTGCATAGCGGCCATAGTGTCTTGCGGTTTGCCTGATGCAATATCAAGAGCTCCGCGGAGCGAAGACGGATGCAGGGGCCTTCCTCCCTCGGCACGCGCCAGCGCGAATCAACCATATCGACGGTGTATTCAAGGTGTGTGTGGTCGATCGTAAGAATAATGGAGTACATGTTGGGACCGATGCCCGGGAATGCGGTGGTACCGACGCGCCGCACGGTGAGTTTCCGAAGCAGATCGTCGCCGTTGTTACTGTGCACGATCTCCATGCCGAGCATCTGCACTATCGGCGACGTGTCCAGCATCAAAGACAGGTGGGCGGCATTGCACCACTCCATTCGGAGTGTATTCAGTCTGATGGTGGGGCAGCATTCAAGGAGCGTAGATCTCTTCGAGTGCCGAGGTCGCTTGCGCTACGGGCGATGCACTTCTAGATATAAGAGACGAGAGACATTCTTCTTGAAGTGGTGAGTGTGGTAAATGGGTAGCAGACGTGAAGAATGGATATACGGTTAGAGGTTCGGGCTTGATGCGTACGGATTGGGTCTAAAAAATGGCTTAGACACCCACTCTGATTCCAATGCGGGCCTTTCGTAGAGAAAAAACTCACAGTCCGATCTTGGCCGCTGCCGGGACGGGCTTTGGAGACACAAAGTCCGATCCTGATGCATACAACCCGCACATTAAAATTTCCGAATATTGGGGTCTTGGCTTGGACCGCTCGAGAAAATCCTCCGGACCATTCGGAAGCTTCAGTATTTTATTTCATCAAGAGCGTGAGGTAAATTCGGCGTACTGCGACGAACAAGAATTTCGGCCGCAGCGAAGACTCTTGGGCGTCAAACTTCAAGTTGAAGAAGGATCGTACTACCCACTGAAGGAACCAGAGATAATATAGAGATTTTGGGAGGCTTTTAGCTGGTTCGAATACCTCAATCGTGGCAGCCTGGACCGATACAGCCATTCGAAGTGGAAGGAAAGGGAGGATCGGACATTCGGACGCGACAGGTGCGGCCGATCAATTCGATCAACACAGCATCCTTGAAGCTCTCCTTGTACCGTGTCAGCGTCACCACGACTGGCGCTCCAATGTGAGGACCCTGCAGAAGACCTTGGGCTGCCAAGCTTTCAGTTAATCTGAGATGACGGAAAATGGGCGAAAAAGATTTTGGCGACGGATGGCCTCGACACCCCTCCCACGTTGTCAGAGTCTCTTCATAGTAAAACCCCTCGTCCCGCCTGCTTAAGCTTTCCGAATCCTCACCTTCTCCCTGTTTGGAACCCACTCCGAGGCTTATGAAATTTCGTCAGGCGAATGCGCCCGCAGACGGCGACGACATCGTCATGTCCCACTGGAACGGCATCATTATCGGCCCCGGCCAAGAGTGTGTTTGTCACAATATTATGTGTCCTATATATCCTGACCTGCACACCCAGTCCCACGCAACTTCTGCCTCCTCAAAGAACTCGAAAGGCGAAAAAGGCATCGGCGACAGCTAGTGATGTTCCGGCCTGGGCCTGAGGCCGCAAAGCCCCGGCTGTTCGGCTCGGCTAGCCGGGCCCAGGCCGAGCCGGAAAGCCGCGGCTTTTGTAGGTTCAAAGTCGTGATTTGTGTTGTGCAGCCGCAATTGTTATTTTTGGTCAGTAAAATCAATGTGTATGCCTTTGGATGGTGTATTTCAGTGCGGCACAACTTACTGCTCACTTGAAACTTCCATGGTCGGAATCTACTGCAAGGAACTTGAAAGTCGTACAAGCGGTTGATGCCATCAATTTCAACATCACTCAATCATCCATGTATAATCAAGTACCTCCAGTGCTCTCAAGAATTTACTAGGCAGCTCAACCCTTTTGTCGCAAAGCCCTATGAGCAAGGAACATTCTGAAAATCGTTGCATACCTTTTTTGGGTTCCGTAACTGCACACAATGCTCTCAAAAGAAATTTCATGAAAAGCCCCGGCCTAGGCCAAAGCCAGGCCGAGGCCGAGCCGGGCCTGGTGGGGGCGGCCTGGCCTGAGAGTTTTGAAAAGCCCAAGCCCCCAAAGCCGGGCCGAAGCCGCGGCTTTCAGGCCAAGCCCAGGCCGGAACATCACTAGTGACAGCTCCTGCTCGTACGGCCTCAAAGACGGCGACGACATCCTCATGTCCCACTGGAACGGCACCATCATCGGCCCAGGACACACCGTGCACGAGAACCGCATCTACAGCTTGAAGATTACGTGCGGCGACCAATACCCCGACCGGCCCCCGACCGTGCAGGTCCGTGCCGCTGCGTGCTCACACTCACGCTCACGCTCACCCTAACGTGTTCGCCCGCCCACAGTTCCTCTCCCGCGTCAACCTCCCCTTCGTCTCCCAAACCGACGGCATGGTCGACCCCGCAAAGCTCCCCGTCCTCGCACACTGGACCCACCGCAGCAGCCTCGAGCTCATGTTGGTCGAGATCCGCAAGTGCGTCCAGGCTCCTGCCTTTGTTTATTTCATCTTGGCGTTCTGTATTTCACCTTTACCTACCATCTTTGCTTGGCTTTGCTTGCACCCGCATCTTTCTTTACCTTCGCGTTTGGTTTCTTATCTTTGCCTTCGCGTTCCTTTCTTTGCCCTGTTTTTGTTTTGGTTCCCACCACTAACACACACACAGAGAAATGGCCACCCAGGCAAACCGCAAGCTCCCCCAGCCCCCCGAGGGCAGCATGTTCTAGACTCCCCCTCTCCTCTCCTCGCGCGTGGGTGCATTAGCGTTGGGCGTTCGCGTTCGCGTCAATGCGCGTTGGTGTGGGTAGGGTGTGGTGCGAAGAGGAATTTGAGAAGAGGGTACGAAGGAATGCTGGGAACGAGACAAGAGAACGGTACGATAGGATAGACTTTGGTGGCAGTGTGGTGGTGTATTATACAATGCGACGAATGAACTCACTCACGACAAACTCTGTACATGGCTCGTCAAATCTCGAACTCATTTCCTTTCCTTTCCTCAGACGCAATGAAGCGCAACAGTGAACCAGGCGCGGGCCAAAAAAGCCTTTGAGACCTAAACACGCTCCAAACCCACATCTGCCCGAAATGTTCAGAGTTATTTCGACTAAACTGATCAGGGCGGTCTACCACTGACCCATTGGAGCTTGGGGTTTCAGTGGAGGTGTACGAGAGTATAGACTGTCGCGGTGTGGTGTATGATACTCACGAACTCTGTACATACACGGCTTCTCAAATCTCAAACCCACATTTCCTTTCCTTCCACCGCATCGAACCGGATCCAACAGTGACCCGCGCCCGGGCTAAAAAGAGTGTTTCGCCCAACTCAAGCTCCAAGCGGGAATCGAACCCACCTTTGCCTCGAAAACAGCGAAAGATTTGTGCTAAATTTCGAAAGCGCTCTACCACTGGCCCATTGGAGCTTGAAGTTGTGGTGGAGGTGTACGATAGGATAGACTCCAGCCGTGTGGTGTATTGTACAAAGCAACAAATGAACTGACACTCACGACGAACTCTGTACATACATACATGGCTTCTCCAATCTCGAACCCACATTTCCTTTGCTTTCCTCGGACGCAATGACACTCCCGGCCTTTCCTTTCCTTTCCTGTTCCCCGCAACGAACCGTACGCGTGCGCGTGCGCCCGTGCCAAAAAGCAAGCTATAGCCAGTCCACGCTCCAAGCGGGATTCGAACCCACTTCTGCCCGCAACTATTAACTAGTGACTTCATAAATAAACAGGCCGGTCTACCACTGACCCATTGGAGCTTGCCAACCTGCACTGCTGCAGTGCATATTTGGTCTGATGCGCACTAGACAAGTGACAGAGCTCAAGTTCTTAAGTTAAAGCCAAGACCAAGCACTCTTCAAATAACTCATATTAATAAATACCACCTCCAGTGATCAGCGTGAACATAAACAAATCTACATACATAACGAAGTCCATCAACGAAACTTCCGCGGGTGAATCCATCCGTTGCCGATGCCAAACCAAAACAAAAACACATTGATTTAAATGATCATGCAGGCTCCAAGCGGGAGTCGAACCCACATCTGTCTGCCAACTCTCACATACATGCTGGAAATCGTCAGGCCGGTCTACCATTGACCCATTGGAGCCTGATAACAGGTTGGCATTCCCATAAATACCATACGGTTTTCGTCAAAGTGTTTCTCACTGGCTTCAAAGCTTCAAGTTCATCAGGCTGGTCTACACTGCCCCATTGGCTTGGAATCATTAGTAGGATTCGAACCCAGGGCCACATCTGCCTGCCAAGTTTGATATACTTCGCTGAAAGCACAAAGCCAGTCTACTGCTGACCCCTTGGCACTTCCAATCGGAATTGTCTGAATCGTGGAGCATATGATAGACAAACTCTGATGCCCTTCTCGCCACTCCAGTTCTCAGATCCAGACATATGCATGAATTGTTACACTCGCAAACCAGCCACTCCTCCTCCTCCTCCAAGTAATATGTATTGACCACAAAGAAAAAACTTCATCCTCCTTAAGTGCTCCAAGCGGGAGTTGAACCCTCATCTGCCTGCCAAGTCTGATACACACCACAGAAACCCTCAGGCCGGACTACCATTGACCCATCGGAGCTTGATTACATGCATGCATTCCCATAAATACTATATGGTTTGGTCCAAGTGTTTCTCACTGGCTTCAAAGTTCATCAGGCTGGTTTAAAAATACAGCTGACCCATTGGCTTGGAAATTGGAATCATTAGCGGGATTCCCACCTGTCATTCCCTTACCTTGCCTTTGTTTCGTGTCTTTGCCCTTCCTCTTTGTTTCTTGCTCATCTTCACCTCTGCCACATTTCTTCATTCCGTATCTCTCATGTCCTTGTCTTCGCGTTTCTTTCTTCCATATCTTCATCTTTGAGTTTCTTCCTTTCTCCTGCCTCTTTAGCGTTTCCTCCCTCATACATTTATTTTGGCATTTCTTCACTCGTTTGCCCTCTATATCATATTATGCATCCACCACCCACTAATGCACACACAGAGAAATGGCCTCCCATGCAAACTGCAAGCTCCCCCTGCTCCCCGAGGGCAGTATGTTCTAGGCACCCCCTCTCCTTGCCCGTTGGTGCCTTAGCATTGAGTGTTTGGATGTTGGACGTTGGTGGTGCTGTACGTACTGTGTGTGGTGCAGGGAATTTGTGAAGAGAAGCCAAGTAGGGTTGGGTATGAAGGAAAGCAGGGTAGGTTACGAAGAGAAGGGGAGGCATACAATACAATAGGATAGACTCTGGTGGCCATGGTGGTGTGGGTGGTGTATTACACAATGCAACAAATGAACTCACTCACTCATGATCACCTCATGTACATTGCTTCTCAAATCTCGAACCTACATTTCCTTTCCTTTCCTTCCACCGCAACGAACCGTACGCGTAGCCAACAGTGAACTGCGCCCGGGCCAAAAAGAATTGAAGTAGAAAGAGGTTAGAAGGCAACACATGTTTCAAGCAGGAGTCGAACCCACATCTGCCTCGAAAATTACGAAGGATTTTCCGAAAATTACGAAACCGGTCTGCACTGACCCATTGGAGCTTGCGTCCCTCTAATGAATGTTTGGTGTAAGGTGCACTCAACGAGTGACAGACCTTCAATTTATTAAGGTAAAGCCAAGACTAGACACTCCTCAAGTTGCTTACTTATAAATGCTACCTCAGTAATCAGTGTAACGTAAACAAATCTACATAACGAGCTTGAAACGTACGCGATTGAAGTCCATCCATTACCAAAACAAAAATCACAAAATGAGATGCATGCCCCAAGCTCGAGTTGAACCCACATCTGCCTGCTAAGATTGTGATGCAGAAATGAAACCATCAGGCTGGTCTACCATTGACCCATCGGAGCTTGCTTATATATATGCATTCCCATAAGTACTGGACGGTTTTCGTCCAAGTGTTTCTCACTGGCTTCAAAGCTTTCAAGTTCATCAGGCTGGTCTACCACCAACCCATTGGCTTGGAATCATCAGCGGGATTCAAACCCAACCCACATCTGCCTGCCAAGTTTGATATACTTCGCTGAAAGCACCAGACCAGTCTACTGCTGACCACTTGGCACTTCCAATCCTTGGAATTGTCATGGAGCACATGATAGACTAACTCTGATACCCTTCTCCCCACTCCAGTTCTCGGATCCGGACATGTAGATGAACACACAGCTCTTTCGCAGGGAACCCTAAACATGCACCTCTGAAAATCGTATGGAATCAATACCAGAACTTGTGAGGCCGCCACCACTGGCCATTAGAGCTTCCAATTTCATGGTCCGAGTGTGGATGTGTACTAGCCGAATGACAAGGACGCATCCACTTGTCAGTCTTCAAGTTATAACCTCAACTCGGCACTGAGCTCAGCGAGCAGCTATGCACCGGCACCCCAAAGAAGAACTGAAAAAAAGGACTGAGGATCACCATCATGCTCCACGCGGAGTCGAACCCGCCTCTGCTGTTTCCTCCAGGTGAAATTAACAGGCTGGTCTACGGCTGACACATTGGAGCTTGCCATTGCAACACCACCTGCTTTTCTGTCCAATGTCCAAATAATCAAGCAAGCAAGCATATCTCCTCCACCAAGCAAGTTGGTTGGTTGAACCAACACTAAATGAGGCAGTACAACATAGATAGTGTTAATCATACCAACAGACATAAGAGAGAGAGAGAGAGAAGCCCCCAAAACGACAGGCTCCCCACTGATGCTCCAAGTGGGATTTGAACCCACATCTGCCCGAAAATCTGGTCAAGATTCAACTCTAAATAACCAGGCCGGCATAGCGTTAACCCATTGGGCTTCTAACCCTTCAAGTTGTCAGGGAGTATATGTTCATAAATTACAGGACTTGGTCCATCCTTATACTTACACCCAAGTTGAATGTACCCGAGTACGCTCAATGGCATTGAAGCAACAACACCTTATTCATCTCTTCCAACTACTACAACAACAACTACTACTACTAGTACTACTACTACTACATAAAACAAAAAGTCACAAAAAGGATTCAGCTCATTGGCGTCTAACGCTCCAAGTGGGATTCAACCTCACATCTGGCTGGGAAATTGTTGTACCACTCTAATTTACCAGCCCACTCTATCATTGATCCATTGGAGCTTGTACACTATTAAGTGGTCGGGGAGTATATGGTATGTGTATATGTTCATGGGTGGTGTACATGTAAGTGCCGACTTGTCTTGGCAATTTCTTTCGACTGCAATGATTCAGAATGGTCAAGTTTTGAAACAGTGACAGAATGAGAATGGTGATTGATATCCAGTTTCATTCACATACATAGTAATGAACAGTGATTTTCATCTCACAATTAAATGCAAAAATTCCCCTGCAGGAAGTTGTCTTTCAGTTCCTAAGAGCTGTATGCAGTCACATCCCGACATGTATAGATTGAACATTTGATCAAGATTGTTCTGAATCCCGATCCATTCCTTGGTCCAAGCTGCATATAAGGATATATATTATTTTTGCGAACTCAGTCTACTCACATCGACCCGTTGCCCAACCACAATATACATGTGATATCTGCTAGTCACTACTGAAGTGGCAACGTGGCCTTGCCCCAGAGCGAAAAAAGGCTTTCTGCCGATTCAGAACAAACTCGAACTTGAACATCAGCCAAGACAAACCCTCTGGTTCAATTTTTCGGCCGATTGACCTGGACCAAAAATTATGAACGTACCATAATAATAAGGGGGTTGAACCGGAAAGCATCCAAGCCTGACAAGCTTTGTTTTACTCAGAGTGTGCCATTGCAAGGTGACGGACTCCTGTGAAGTTTGGGTCATCCTCCAGGCGCGTTACTAGAGCGTTTGCAATGCAACCATTGAAGCTATCCAAAGGCTGATTTGTGTTGCGTAACCCGATGGCTCCACCATGCTAAATTTAATCCCAATGGCTCTGCCAGCCATCCGAGGGTATTTTTGGCGGGCGGAGCCACCAGATGATGCAATGCGAATCAGCCATTGGATGGCTCCAATGGCTGCATCGCAAACACGCTACTTTTCTGAGTTCTTCTAGCCTCAGGTAACTGAGGTAAGCTCTCTGCTTAATATATTGGCACATAGCAGTTTAGAACATTGTCATGTCCCATGGCCATATTGGATCGAGCGACGGGCACATACATCAATGGATTCAATTTAAACACCAACCTGCGCCAAAACAGCGAAAGAGGCGGCCACCTGACGGCGCAGCCGGTCACCCATTACCGCCGGCGCGTCCCGTCATGAGTCCTCAAACCCCGGACTACATCGTCTCCTATTCGGATTATTTCATCTACCCGAACCTTTATTCCGAGCCGGTCGACCCTCAGATTACTCCTGCTCCACTTGGAGTTGGAGACATGGCCGCATACCGCTTTAGCCAAGCCTTTATTTACGGTCAAAGTCAGATTCGCAACGTCGTAGGCGACTCAATGGCAAGCATTTTCGCCGCTGAAAGCACGAACATCCCCATGACAACACTTTGGGTGCCTTCCATCTTCGACGGCACTCTCATGTCTCATTGGAACGGCACCATCATCGGCCCAGGCCACACCGTCCATGAGAATTGCATCTACAACTTGAAGATTACCTGCGGCGATCAATACCCCGACCGGCCCCGACCGTGCAGGTCCGTGCCGCTGCGTCCTCACACTCACGCTCGCGCTAACGTGTTCGCCTGCCCACAGTTCCTCTCCCGCGTCAACCTCCCCTTCGTCTCCCAAACAGACGGTATGGTCGATACTGCAAAGCTCCCCGTCCTCGCACACTGGACACACTGCAGCAGCCTCGAGCTCATGTTGGTCGAGATCCGCAAGTGCGTGCACGCTCCTGTCTTTATTTATTTATTTCATCTTTGCGTTCTTTATTTAATCTTTACTTTGCTTTCTTCCATATCTTTCATTGGCTCCGCGTTTCATCTCGTATCTTTGCCTTCGCGTTTCTTTCTTTGCCTCCATTTCGTGCACTGCGCGCTCACGCACGCACCCACACAGAGAAATGGCCACCCAGGCAAACCGCAAGCTCCCCCAGCCCCCGAGGGCAGCATGTTCTAGGCACCCCCTCTCCTCTCCTCGCGCGTTGGTGCATTAGCGTTCGGGTTCGGATGTTGGATGTCGGGTGTTGGGACGTTGGTGGTACTGTACGTCGTGTGGTGCAGGGATTTTGTACAGAGAACGCAAGTAGGGTTGGGTACAAAGGGAGAAGGGGAGGTGTACGATAGGATAGGATAGACTCTGGTGGCAGCGTGGTGTATTATACAATGCGACGAATGAACTCACTCACGACGAACTCTGTACATGGCTCGTCAAATCTCGAACCCATTTCCTTTCCTTTCCTCGGACGCAATGAAGAGCAACAGTGAACCGCGCCCGGCCAAAAAAACACTTGGTGATCATGCACGCTCCAAGCGGGAGTCGAACCCACCTCTGCCCGAAATACTATTACTCATATCTTAATTACTCATATCTTAAGCGGATGGCCTGATTTTATGTGCGCATGTTTACATTCTTCTTTCTCTCACTCACTGCCCGGCAGCTCCCGTAGGTCCATCCTATTTCCGATTATTTCTGGGGTCTGTTCCATCCAGATTTGGACGCTCCACACAGTTATTTTCAACCTATCCGTTCAACCGCTCAATTCCCGTACAGGCTGACGAAGGCCTCTTCTGCAATCTCTCTTTTTTTCAGGGTCCCTCATCACGTCCTTCAATTGAGCAGACACCCTAAATCAGCCTGAATGGTTGTTTCGCTCCTATTTTACAGCTTTCTTTCCTCCTTCTCACCCATCGGTTTCACCCTGTTCCATTGACTCGGTGGCATCTAAGCTCTTTTTGTCGAATTTTTCCGGCCATCACTGATTATTATTACTCGCACATTACCGCCGATAATACTCCATTCGATATCTCAGCTGATCCTCTCCATCAGGAATTGGTTTAGACGCCCCGGCGCTTCATCAATTCAAACATCACGGATCAGCCCTCAACCTCCGCACAAAAGGCAGGCATGCTGTTGCATCGCTTCCTCTGTCCCACCCCCATCATTTCTGTATTCGGGGTCGTGCGCCGCCGCCTCTGACTCTCTTTTCCATGCTGCGCTGCCTATCAAGAATTATCATCGACCTCCCCGATAATCCCATCAACATCCGCTCAAAAGGCAGGGTGTACTTTTCTCCTTTCTTTATTACACCCCATCATCTGCCCCCGTCCGGCGTCCCTTCCTCTGTCCCATACCCAGCCCGCGCACTCTTCCTCTGGTTACCTGGCAAGTTGCAAAAAGCGAGTCTGGTCTAATGTTTACCGCGTCTCTTCGTTACCGCTCAACGGTTCTCTTTCCTAATGCAGTGTGCCGCAGCCAAGCAAACTCTCCGCAAGGGTCTGAACATCAAGACCAATGGCAAACCCAACTCAATTGCAATTTCGCTCGAGGTTTTTGCACCTCTTTCTGTATTATTATCGCGCCATCCCTCGGTATTCCTCCCTTCAATCAACACGTATTCCTCCCTTTCAACATTCTTGACGGCTATCCCATCAAGCGCTCCTCAAGAGCATGGCAAGCATCAAGAACGACGACTGAGTGCTCTGTCGTACCTCCGAAGTTCAACTGCAACCTTCGCGCGCAACAACAAGAAACACCTCAGTGGACTCTTCCTCAACGGCGTCTAGGACTTGCCGTCTAGGACTTGCGAGATTTCCATAGTTCAAGTTCAAGTCATTGTGTCTCCGCGTACGGGTATCATGTTCTTTATCAAGGCTCTCTCCCAATCACGGTTCAAGCGTGCCGGCAGCGTGATTGACGATCTTGGAGCTCTGTAGTTCCCTGGGATCAACCCACGTGCTCTTGGAGTGTTCACCCATTACCTTCGACCACGACGCTTTATACTTATTTTTTCTATCCCTCATTGACCCGCACATCAACTTCCTCACTTTAATTCCAAGCGCTCCCGCAATCTATCTGCGCCCTTTGGACTTCAAACGCGAGCGGCTTCACGCCGAAGGTGTGTTTTACTGCGTGTGTTTTACTCCATTATATCCATATCAATCACCTTTCCTTCAGGCCCGCGAACTTTGACGCGTCCCTGACACGGACTGAGCCCCGTGGTATCACACGCCGCATTCCGACTTCTGTTCCGTTTTTGTGTTCTCATGCTGGTACGTTTTCCGCTGGTTATATTGCACATGGGATATCACTGACCATGCCACAGCAGTCTCGTGGCTCGGTCTATGTGCGGCTGCACTCAAAATTCCATCCTGATTTTTCGCAATCCCACGAATGACGCAACGCGTGGTTTGGTGGGTTCCCATTTTTCACCTATGTTCAACGAAACTGACGCGTCTCTAACGCGCCAGGGCCACCGCCTTCGACGCTTCACACGGTTTCGAGTCCCCACGAGCCTCAACATAATATATCGACTTCCCGTCACTGGTGCAATTCACAAAGTTCCAAGCACCGACACAATGCATGACCACCTGCGGTTGACGCCCAGTTTTTCTTCCTGCGTGGCGGGACCCTGCGTGGGTGCCAAGTGCAATTTTCGGGCAGACATCCACCCTTAGCTTCAAGCTGCAGAAATCTTTCTGTGTGCCTACGCCTCCGAGCCGATGAACTGCCCGTGCCGGCATTCAACCGCTTTCGTCGGATTCGGAAACTCGACGGATAGGCAGCCTTTCCACAATGCGTAAGCGTCTCCGCGCATATTTACCACTCACAGCCATATCGATTCATCAGTAGCTTTCCTTCGCCGTCCCACAGCTCCTCGGCCGCCGGCTTCAGAGTGGGATTTCCATAATGATTGAGTGTATTACAGTGACAATCATCCCATCCTCACCAATTCCATCTTACTCCTCACCTTCGTGTGACTTCGATTTGGTACACAGTATACATGTCTAGACACGAATTCCATTTTTCACCATAGCAACATGGCAGTTGTATTACTATTACCATATACTAAAATTTCAAGTCAGCCCTCAATTTGTATCTTTGTGCATCCACAAAGTCATGAACAAGCCACGTTAAAAACAGGCGCCGGAGCGAAGCGACGGCAAATCTTGTGGAATCTATTATGATGACAATGATCAGGCCGGTCTACCGCTGACCTATTGGAGCTTGGGTTTTCAGTGAAGGTGTACTTATCAGAGGATAGACTCTGGCGGTGTGGTGTATTATATATATAATGCAACAAATGAACTGACACTCACGACGCACTCTGTACGTACATATTTTCTCAAATCTCGAACCCACCTTTCCCTTCCTTTCACTTCCTCGGACGCAAACTTCGGTCCTTTCCTTTCCTTTCCTCCCATCCACGAACCGTACGCGTGCCGCGCCCCGGGCCAAAAAACCAAGTATCTGAAGCCCACGCTCTAAGCGGGAATCGAACCCACGTCGGTCTCGGAAATCATCACAGAGTACCTGAAATTACGAAACCGGTCTACCCCACTAACCCATTTGAGCTTCCCTGCAGTGGATATATGGTCTGATGTGCACGAGACAGTGACAGGCCTTCAAGTTCTTAAGTTAAAGCCAAGACTATGCACTCTTCAACTTATAAAGGCCACCTCCGTGATCAGCGTGAACGTAAACAAATCTACATACATAAGAAGCGTTATTGAGGAAACTTCCGCGATTGAAATCCATCCATTACCAAAATAAAAATCGAAAAATGAGATCCACGCTCCAAGCGGGAGTCGAACCCACGCCTGCTTCGAAAATGGAGTAGGACTTGTTCACATGACGAAACCAGTCTACCACTGACCCATTGGAGCTTGCATCCCTCTGGTAGATATTTGGTCTGAGTGTGCATTCAAAGAGTGACAGACCTCAAGTTCTTAAGTTAAAGCCAAGACTTCAAGCTACCCACCTCCAGTGATCAGCGTGAACAAACAAATCTATATACTTCACAAGCTCTATCGCCGAAACTTCCGCGATTGAAATCCATCCATCACCAAAACAAAAATTGAAAAATGAGATGCACACTCCAAGCGGGAGGCGAACCCGCATCTGCCTCCCAAATTTTATGCATCCTGTGCGGTCTACCATTGACCCATCGGAGCTTGATCATAGATATGCATTCCCATAAATACTCAACGGTCTTCATCCAAGTGTTTCTCACTGGCTCCAAAGCTTCAAGTTCATCAGGTACCACTGACCCATCAGCTTAGAATTATTAAGTAGTGGGATTCAAACCCAACCCACATCTGCGTGCCAAGTTTGATATACTTCACTGAAAGCATCAAGCCAGTCTACTACTGACCCCTTGGCACTTCCAATCCTTGGAATTGTCGTGTGGAGCACATGATAGACTAACTCTGATACCCTTCTCGCCACTCCAGTTCTCTAATCCAGACATGTACATGAACACACAGCCCTTTCGTGGGGAACCCTAAACATGCCTGCGCACAAATTAAGGACTTGCGTAAGTGAAAAGTATGTGTCAACTGGCGTGTCTCCTCCAAAAACACAAAGACAGGTTAGAGGTCATGAGACATGCTCCAGGCAGGAATGGAACCCACATCTGCCCAAAAATTTGAAGCATTACAGTGGCGGTGGAATCAAATGAATTGCCTTTTTGGGACATTGCCATCAGCTGATGTTGCTACCTCAATGCTTCACCACTATGATGCCTCGTGCACCACGACAAACCCTGCTGAACCCTCCTACTGCCTCTAGCGACATGAAATGGACCCCTACTAAGAGAGCAAAGGTGATTGTCCTCCATGAAGACAAGGAAATGCCATTCACACAGATCTGCCAATGCTCGCCATTCAAAAAAATCAGCCCACTCACTCTGTCGCGCAATTACAACCTTGTGAAGGACCATGGGGGTGATTGCTACTACAATGGACAATGAGAAAGGTCTGGATGGAAGCCAGTCTTCACGGAAGAGCAGATGAGAGAGGCCGAAGAGAGGCTTGAGTCTGGGGAGTCGATCGATGGCGAAGACGTGAGACGGGTGATGTTTCCTGACATCCCCGCCCGAACTGTGTGTTGCCGTTGTTCTCCGTGACCTCCCCTAATGTTTCTATGACAGGTTTGTGACAACCTCTCGCGAGTTGGGCTCAAGGGCTTTGCCCAACGCAAAAAGCCCAATCTCCTCCCCCAGCATGTCGAACAACACCGGCACAGGTACGAGTGCTACCAGGAGTGGACTAATGACGATACATTCCTTCGCGGTGTGTTTATCAACTCGGATGAGTCCAAATTCGTGCTCGGTGTTTTCAATGGGCGGCAGTATGTATGACGACGTCGCAGCCATGACGCTCTCGCGCCCCGCAGTGTCCAGGTAACGGAGGCCCATGGTTGCAAGGGCATCAAGGTCAATGTCTGGGGTGCGATACATCCCATGGGTGTCTCGAAGCTCATCCGCATCGATGGCATGCTCGATGCAGAGTTGTATGTCAAGATTCTTGAGCATGCCATGCTCCCAATCTACGACCACCTGGAGAACCGGCACCATACATTCCTCGTCTTCCAGCAGGACAACAACCCGAAACACATGTCGCTCCGTGCCAAGAAGTGGCTCCGAGACCATAACATCTCGCTCTTCGAGTGGCCAACAAAGTCACCTGATCTCTCACCCATTGAGAACGTGTGGGCAGAACTCAAGCATCGCGTGAAGTGTGATGCACGTTACCCGATGATTACGACTGCGAATGAGTTCTTTGAGGTGCTGTCAGAGATTTGGGAGTCGGCGTCATTCCAGGAATATGTGAGACATGTATATCAGTCATTTCCACGCTGCCTCTGTGCCTTGAAGAAGAACAACTTCCTCTGGATCGGCTACTAGGTGTGTATTGTGTATAATTACATGTCCCATCGTTGTAATACTTTTTTTTTTTTTTGAGTTTAGAGCTCAGAGGAACGAGGAGAAGGAAAATTGATGGCAATGTCCCAAAAAGGCAATTCATTTGATCCCGCCGCCACTGTACACAAAGTTTACCAGGCGGGTCTACCGTCAACCCATTGGAGCTTCTGCACCCTTGAATGGTTGGGGAGGATATGATGGGCGAACTCTGACATCCTCCCTGCCCACTTCCCAACCTCCCACCACTCAGTTCTTGGATCACGGGGAACCGTAAATATGTATATGGACAAATCAAATAAGTGAAAAGTATACATCAACCACGCCTCACCTCACCCCCCCATAAAAAAAGTGCGGTACACCATCTGTATGCTCCAAGTGAGAATCGAACCCACGTATGCCTCTGAAAATTTTATGGAAACTAGTGATGTTACGGGCTTGGCTTCAAGCCCGAAGCCCGCCAGGCCAGGCCCGCTCAGGCCCAAGCCAAGCCAAGCCCGACGCAGGGCCTGAGAGGGCCCAGGGCTTGGGCTTCAGAATTCTCAAGCCCAAGCCAGGCCGTCAAGCCCGGGCCTGGGGGTGGATCAATAATTTTAGCGAATTTCGACGAATCTCGCGCAAACCATATGAATAAAAGATGGTCCCATTATATTATGGGCTAATTTTATTTATCTGGGCATGCTAGACTGTTCCAATGCTCAGCCGTTGCTCGACATCTATCGGGTATAAAAAGTGTGACAGAATGTGACTGAACGCGTTAAACTTCTATTCCCGTCATGGCTCCCCCCACGCGGCTCATAAAACAATCCCGATCCAACTCTCCGAGTGGAAAGTGCAAAGTTCTCTCTGATGCCTCGAGTGACGAACCAGGTCGAAGTCGTGTCGTTTGACATCTTTATAACCGAGGTGAAGACCCGACCACCCAATCAAAGTTTAAGTAAGTAATCGGCACATGGACATTTTTGTTCTTGGTGATTATGACATTACTCCTACTTTACTTTTAGATATGAAATAATTTGTAGCTCTGTACCCTTTAATTGTTGTTGGCTCCATATCCTGCGAAAATAAATAAAAAACCGCGGAAAGCCCGGGCTTGGGCCTGGGCCTCGGGCTTCAGGCCCGGCTACCAGGGCTTGGGCTTGGGCTTGAGATATCTGAAGCCCAAGCCCGCTCAAGCCAGGCCCAAGCCCGGGCTTCCAGGCCAAGCCAGGCCCGTAACATCACTAATGGAAACAATATCTGAACTTGTGAGGCCGATCTACTACTGACCAATCGGAGCTTCAAGTTTCATGGTCCGAGTGTGGATGTGTACTAGCCAAATGACAAGGACACATCCACTTGTCAATCTTCAAGTTATAACCTCAACTCGGCACTGATCTCAGCAAGCGGTGAGCAATCAACAAGCTATGCACTGGCGCCCCCAAGAAGAACTGAAAAAAGGACCGAGGATCACCATCATGCTCCACGCGGGAGTCGAACCCACCTCTGCTGCTTCCTCCGGGTGAAATTAACAGGGTGGTCTACAGCTGACACATTGGAGCTTGCCATGGGCATTGGAACACCACTTTCTTTTCTATCCAAATAATCAAGCAAGCAAGCATATCTCCTCCATTAAGCAAAGTTGGTTGTTTGAACCAACATTAAATGAGGCAGTACAACATAGACGAAAAAGGATTCAGCTCATTGGGGTCTAATACTCCAAGTGGAATTCAACCCCACATCTGCCTGGGAAATTATCGTACTACTCCAATCTACCAGGCCAGTCTATCAATGACCCATTGGAGCTTGTACACAAGTAAGTACCAAGTAGTCGGGGAGTATATGGTATGTGCATATGTTCATGGGTGGCATACATATAGGTGCTGACTTGTCTTGGCAATTGCTTTCGACGGCAACAATTCAGAATGGTCAAGTACAGGAAATGAACCCATGAAACAAAAACACAACCGAAAATTTTGAAACAGTAACAGAATGAGAATGGTGATTGATACTCGGTTTCATTCACATAGTAATGAACAGTGATTTTCATTCATCTAACAACAAAATGCAAGAATTCCCCTGCAGGAAGTTGTTTTTCAGTTCCTAAGAGCTGTATGCAGTCACATCCTGACATGTATAGATTGAACATTTGATCAAGATCGGTCTGAATCCCGGTCCGTTCCTTGATTCAAGCTGCATATAAGTATACTAGCATATATTTTGCGAAGTCAGTCTACTCCTATTGACCCTTTTCTCAATTACAATATACATGTGATATTTGCCAGTCACCACTAAATTGGCAACGTGGCCCTAGAGCGGAAAAAAACTTGCCATCAGACAAACTTGAACTTGCACATCAGCCAGGATGCACATTTCAAACCCTCCGGTCTAATTTTTCAGCCGATTGACCTGGACCAAAAATTATCGACGTACCATATTAATAAAGGGCTGAACCGCAAAGCTTCCAAGCCTGACAAGCTTTAGAATGTGCCCTCGTAGAAGTAATGTTAATAGACAGCTTGCGCAAAAGCCGCACCAGCCGCATGCGGCTTTTCGGCATTGCGCAAAATTATTGGGTTTTTCCTGGGTTTGCTGCATGATTTTGCGAGTTTTTTACACTCTCAGGTCTCCGTCACACTGTATTGCATTCATCCAAATTACTATCTGGTCGATGCGCGAGCTGGGGAAACGGTTTGTCCAGCCATCACTCTGGCTCCACTCAGATTTTGCGCACTTTTCGTATCCTGCACGGAGCAGTTGCGGTAGTAATGCAAATTTTTCTCCCACCAGGACTTGCCTGTCAGCCTGACTACCTCTCCACTGCCTTAGTTTCTCAGTAACCTCAAGTTTGATTCCCGCATGCGGCTTCACGCAATGCCAAAAAGCCGCATGCGGCTTGTGCGGCTTTTGCGCAAGCTCTCTAATAAGTTAGTAATAGGCTACTAAGTATCTGAGGCATCTCGACAATCCCTTTCAAAACATTCCTCGTGTTCTGGCTATAAACATTCGCAAAAGAGGCTGTTCATCCACATGAGTTTGATCCATGTTTTTCACCCAAGTCGTCGGATTTCGTTTCCGTGGTAACAAGAGTTGATTTGGCTGAGCAGCTACTTAACGATTGTTTCACTGTATCACTCGATAATTGAAACGCTGATAACTGTGAAGGGATTCCACTCATGGTTGTGACCCATTCAGTCTGTCCGGCCTAGTCCTTTTTTGTCTAGGGAAGGATTCCGAGAATAGCAAAGAAAGTCTAAGTGGTTTTCGAGTCAA